GCCACATTTAGAATACTGTGTTCAGTCTTGGGCTCCTTACCTTAGGAAAGACATTGAATTGTTGGAAAGGGTTCAGAAAAGGGTTACAAGAATGGTGCCTCAGATGGAGGGGTTGTCATACAAGGAGAAGCTGAAATCTCTCAAATTGTTTTCTCTTGGAAAAAGAAGAATTATGGGGGGATCTTATTGAAGTGTTCAAGATTGTAAAGGGAATTGATAGTGTTGATGCATCATCTGTTTTCATATTTAACAGAGGGAATACTAAAACTAGGGGACACAAATAAAATTTTAGCAATATAGAAGTCATCTTCAGCTAATACAGTTTTATTTTTCTAACAGGGTGGTTGGCCTTTGGAATGGGCTGCCTTCAAATGTTGTAGAGGCAGTAAATTTAAGTGAGTTTAAGAAAAAGCTTGAAAGTATATGAATGATAAGGGCTGGCTTTGAAATTATTTTTTAAATTATTTTAATTTCGTTACAGGATTGAACAGCCAGGATGGACCAACAGGTCCCATGTTGTCCCAAAACATTATGTTATATTATGTTTACATTAGCTTAGTTAGAGCTAAGTTATACTGTACTTAATACTATTGATAAATAAACTTATAACATTATTGTACAACCTAATGTCAGACCTTTTTGAAAACTTCAAGCTTTTAATATTATTGTAGTAAATGGTTAATAAATAATATTTACATCCACCTTTTTTGTGTTATTCATTCATAGAGCAGTTGTAGTGACTTGTTTGTTGAGCTTTTCAGCTCTCTGGTGCAGACAGACGTTTTTATTGTTTTTCTGGATAAAATTCTTACTGTGCATACTTATAAGGCTTACAGACAGCAGAATTATAGTATGAGAAGATTTTGGTATCCGTGATTGGAATTCTTTTGTATTATTCTAGAAATCTTATATTTAAAGAACTACTGTTGCACTAAAGACACTAATCTGAGAGCAAATGTCTTGCAAGTATCTGCAAGTATATTATAAAAATACTCAGTTTTTGTCTGTCATGATAATGTAAGCATGCACCTTACAATTTAAATATGCATGCATACCCATATCACTTCCTTAACAGACACATGAACAAGTGTATTATTATACAGATGTTGTGATTTGCTTAACTGCAGGCCAGTGCTGCTCATAGTATTTGGCTTGTAGCACTGTGACTTGCTTAATTACAAACCTATACTACTGGTAACATTGTGATATGCTTAATTACAAAAATATATTATTGGTACCATTGTGACATGC